CCGGGAGCCATGTGGCCTGTCCCCTCCTCTGTGCTCAGTGGGGGGTTAGGATGGGCTCAACACCCCAGGAGACTGGGGGGAGAGAGCTGGGTCAGCTGTGGCAGATTATTGTTTGTTGATCTTATGTACGCTATTTATGTGAGTGTATAATGTCTGTGTGTGTAGGTAGGAATCTGTAATCTGTGTTCCCAGTGGCTGTAGGGAGGAGCTGGGGTTGCCTACCCCCCACAAGAGGGGGGTAGGCAAGCATAGCATGCAGGGGGCCCAACCCCCTAGTATTAAGGACCACCGAACTATTGTGCACACCAGGAAGTGCTCGATATAAACTGTGTATTTATGGCGTTAAACACCAGTCCAAGCAGTGCATGCTCCACAGCATCAATGCATCCCACACCCAGTGACACACCAATCGGGGCTTCGTCTGCCTGGTTTGACTCCTTTGTCTTCAGCTTGGGAGCCCTGGCTGTACATGATGAGTGGAGCCAGGAAAGGGGACTCCTCCCTGCTAATGTGATACTAACTATATCCTGGGCTAGACACGCTCAGGGTGCATCTAGACGACATTCCTCTTGGGGAAATCGAAAATGCAAATGAAGGACTGATTTACAAATCTTGCAGTTCATTTGCATAATCTCTTCTGATCGGTTTTTGGAAGAGATTTTTTCGGAAAAAAAAAGCTATCTAAACGGGATTCTTTCGGAAAAAAAAAACCCTTTCTCGAAAGAAGCTTGTAAACCTAATTTTTTCAGGAATGAGGGTTCTTTCCAAAAAGGGTTTTTTCCCCAAAAGAACCCCATCTAGACTGCTTTTTTTTTAATCTCTTCCAAAAAAGCAATCAGAAGAGATTATGCAAATGAAGTGTGAGATTTGTAAATCTGCACTTCATTTGCATTTTCAATTTCCCTCATTTGCATTCCTCTTTCGAAAGACAAATGTAGTCTAGACGCACTCAGAGACTGAAGATAGTCCTAGGATTGACTGAAATCAATGGCTCTACTTGGTATTTAGAAGCCAATTTAAGACCAAGCATCCTCCTCTTGTTGTTATTCATCCTTGTCTAAAATGGATGCTCCTCCCAGTGAAAAGTGCTCTCCCTCTTCCCTCTCCTTTTCCCCCGTCCCTTAGGAGCAATACACACAAGATGGCATTTTTGTTCCAGATTCCCTGAAAAGTGCTCTCCCTCTTCCCTCTCCCTTTCCCCCGTCCCTTAGGAGCAGTACACACAAGATGGCTTTTTTGTTCCAGATTCCTTCAGGAATAAGGGTTCTTTCCAAAAAGGGTTTTTTCCCCAAAAGAACCCCGTCTAGACTGCTTTTTTTTAATCTCTTCCAAAAAAGCAATCAGAAGAGATTATGCAAATGAAGTGTGAGATTTGTAAATCTGCACTTCATTTGCATTTTCAATTTCCCTCATTTGCATTCCTCTTTCGAAAGACAAAATGTAGTCTAGACGCACTCTCAGAGACTGAAGATAGTCCTAGGATTGACTGAAATCAATGGCTCTGTTTGGTATTTAGAAGCCAATTTAAGACCAAGCATCCTCCTCTTGTTGTTATTCATCCTTGTCTAAAATGGATGCTCCTCCTAGTGAAAAGTGCTCTCCCTCTTCCCTCTCCCTTTCCCCCGTCCCTTAGGAGCAGTACACACAAGATGGCTTTTTTGTTCCAGATTCCTAGCTGGTGTGGTGATGGACCTCACACCAGCTGAGAATCTGACCCATTGCATTACTCTGAAAACTCCTCTGTATGCCGCTTTCACAGAATCATAGAGCACTAGGATCTCGAGAGGTCATCAAATCCATCCCCTGCCCTTGCAGCAGGACCAAGCACCATCAGATCATTCCTGAGAGATGCCTCTCTCACCTGCTCTTAAATATCTCCAGTGACGGAGAGATATTTAAGAGCAGGTTGGATAGAGATCTACCTGGGATGATCTAGATGGTGCTTGGTCCTCTCGAAGGGCCCCGGCTTGGGTAGCAGCGTCAGAGGAGGATGCGAATTCTGCCTCTGCTCTTATGGGTAGCGAGGCTGTAGGGCTCAGAAAGGGCGCGGGTTGAACTGTGGCTCTGCTCATTCACAAAGCAAATACACGGCTTTCTCTCAAACGGCGCTTGTGCTAAGCGAAGGGCAAGGTTCTCCAGCGTTTTGCAACATTCGCCTGGCACAGTTTATAAATGTCAATGACAGCAGCTGAAATTGTACCGGTGCTGTGTTCTGCTCCTCACAAGGGCCGCTTCACAGGCTCTCTCGGCGATTTCCCCACCCTCTTTGGCCTACTCTCTACCGTGCCGTCCTGTATTTGACCTCAGATGGACTGGGCAGGCTTACAAAAGGAAGTTTTGAAAGCACAACAGAAGTATTTTTAGCCTTTGTTCTTCCTCACTTGTTGCATTGGACGGCTCTTTGCCTTCTGCAGGAACAACTAAATCGAATGTCAACAAGAAACCGTTTTCCTCCCTTTGCAGGAAGCTGACTCTAAAGTGCTTTTTTGTAAATCCCTTTAAAGAGGCTGCCTTGTCATCCTACAGAACAGTTGATAGCCTCCATGCCCGGAAGCAACTTCTCCCCTTGGCCTCTTTCCAGAACCACCGCTTGCTACAATAAGATACTCCCTACAGTGACAGGAATAAATTTAGGGGTGATTTAGAGGTAAAACTTTCCATTTCAGCCTGTCTCTTCCCCATGAAGCTATATCTCTTGGACCGCTTACTTTTTCCCTCCTCTCATTCATATACTTTGATAAACAAAATGGATAGGGCCATTTTCATTTCCTGGGCTTTTGGGCATCTTCTTCCCTTCTCAATGGGTAGGTTCAAGCTTCTGGTCATTGGCCACTCTTTACGTTTATACCTCGTTGAGGAAATCAGGGCATGAAGCAATAATACCTGCATTTCCGCAGGACCACGTGCAGATGGGCAATCAACCTACTGGAATCTTTCTTTTTATGTCAGCATCGCATAACCAACTAGTTCAAGCAGTAACTAAATATAACCATGGAACATTTGGCAGCCAAACGCGTCAGACTAAGATACTGATTTCTGTATTTTAATGTCAGGATTTCAAGACTCACAAGTCTGCTTCAAAAATCATGATGTGCTTAAAATATCACAATTGGGGTGGGGGGACTTTTTATTTCCCTTCTAGGTTTTGAGCTTGTCGGATTCGTGTTTTTAGCCTTTGCACTGTAATCAAGAGGGCTAGGGAAACAGAGTGCCATACATAATCACCTGACTCCAGGGGCTGGGGATTTGAGAAAAACACCCAACTAGATAGAGTCATGACACAATCATGAGAATTGGCAATAAAAAACTTCACAGACATTTTCTGTGCCTTGTGCCTGTGTAAGCTCAATAGATCTGACGCATTTCTTAGATATGAATATTTGTATTGCCACCAGCTGGAATCAATTGTGTTTAAGGAGCACAAAATATTAAAACTACCCACCAAACTCCAGGCATTTTGGAAGGGCTCTAATCCTTCCTGCTACCGGGCATGAATCAATCTCTAGCCAATGCAAGTCAGATGGAAACTTTCCTAGAGGTATGTTAGCTACTGTACGGTTCTTACAGCTTCCCGTGAAGCATCTGATGTTGCCACTGGTAGAGACAGGATACCAGGCTAGATGGACGGTGGGTCCGACCCACTCTGACCGTTCTTATGCCCCACCCAGGAAACTACACAACAACTAAGATCTAGCTCCACAGAATCTTGATCCTCTTTGGGGGACAGCTTCATGCATTTCTATTGTGTCTTCAGAGTAAGGCATGACCAAAATGGGTAGCTCTCAGTTTCAGTTTTATATGTATATATACACTACAGACTTGGACAGATGTTTCTTGGGTGTGATTCTACAAGCCATTGTCCGGGCTTAGCCAGTTGGGCACTGTCTGCCTGGACCTCCCCTTCACTGATTCAGAAAAAAATAAAGCATAGTTCTCACTTCTGCAATGATCCAAATTCTCATCCAAATAATATAAAAGCATCCCTCATTTTATTAGTCAGCAGAATGACACCACATCAGCTTGGAAACTAGTTATGCAACATGGAAAGGAATCAGGAACACGTTGAACCTCTCTAGTCCCGCACACACTGGTCTGGCAACATCCATGGTCCGACGTGATTTCAGTTAGCTGGAAGCCCACTTAGCATGGGCATGGCCAAGTTTCCCACGGTCCCATAAAGTTTGTTTACAGCCACCTGGCTGGCTCTCAGGGTTCTGGGCTGTGATTTAGCTCTAATTTACCCCAAAATGTCTTCTAAGAGCCCAGCAAGCAGTGGAAGTGCTGGTAATACTGCTGGAGAACATTGACCTCCCATGGTTTGGCAAATTCTCTGGTTTGGTACCAGTCAGGTCCCAAGGGTGTCAGACTAGAGAGGTTCAACCTGTAGCTTGTAGGCCAGGCTACCAGCTCTCAGTACAAAGGAACATTGCTAGCCGTAGCATGGCACCGGAAGAAACAACACGCACCTCGCAGCCATGCATGCCACATGCCATGAAATGCCACAACTTTACTCTTGTCTTTTGGCCATGAAATGCCACAACTTTACCCTTACAGGCGAGAAGCAGAAAGTGTCCACACATGCATATATGAGCTTTGATGTCACGATGACACATGACACTTTTGCTGTGTGGCCGGGGTCATTCCAGCATGGAATCACACGTCAGATTCTCCATGGTGACCCGGTTCTTACGGGAAAATAGTATTGTGCCTCAGGCGAGGCTATTCCCAGCTGTTGAGACAAACAAGCGGGGTGTTCGGGCAGATGAGACAGCCAATGCAGCCCAGTGCAAGCAAGGAAGAGAAAGCCAGGCTATGCATATTACACAGGGAAGTAGGACATCCAAGAGAACAGGTGGATCTACTGACCATATTAGGCTCGGATACACAACAGCGCGCAGGGAAGAAGCCCACCCATGAACGCAGCAACTGAAAAGCAAACAAAAAGGCCCAGAATAAGGCATCAATCCCACTTCCCTAGGAAGGTGCAAAATAGCATTGTGGACCCTTTCATGTGGCCTGATCGCATTAGGACCCTGGAAATGCGGGCTTTACGATTTACACAGCAGGGGCTGTAAAATGGAGAACGTTTCCTGGAGAAACAGTATGGTCCCCGATCCTTGGACGCATTTAAGCCTAGGCTTTATTTTACTCAGGTAAATGTTCCCCCTGGAGTAAATGGGGCTGCCCGTGTACTTAAGTTAAGTAAGTGTCTGGCATGCCGGTTGTTAAGTGACACAGAATGTGTTCACACAGAATGTGTTCAGTACGATCATGCTGTAACCTGTGAGTATTGTGTTCAAAAGGGTATGAACCTGGGCCTGTATTTTGCAAACACAAGAGCCTGATCTACACTAGGGGCAAAGTTCAAATGAGGATACGCAATTCCAGTTATGATAATTGTGTAGCTGGAGTGGATGTACCTTGATTCGAACTGGGCATCGTCCCCACAGCAGGAGGTTGATGGGAGATATGCTCCCGTGTACGTCCCTTACTCCTCACGAGAAGTAGAAGTACCAACGCTAATGGGGGCACCCTCAGCATTTGATATAGCAGGTCCTTACCAGACCCACTTAATCAAACGCCAGTAGATCAATCTCCAGAGCGTCGATCCGCAGGTAAGCATAGACATAGCATTAGGAAGAGTGCCACAAGGAGTATTTGTGCACCGCAGCATTCAGTATACTAACTATTCTCAGAGGGGTGGCCGGATTAGTCTGTACCTCTCAAAACAACCAGCAGACCTGTGGCACCTTAGAGACTAACACCTATAACTGATCATGAGCTTTTCGTGGGGAAAACCCACTTTATCAGATGAGTTGGAGTGGAAATTACAGATCCAGGGTACATATAACAGTAAAAGCAGTGACCTACCTATCCTTGTAAACCTTAGTGACACACCCTAAAAGTTTACTTGTTAAGCAGTGTTGCCAATGCCCGTGATTTTGTTACCACGCTGACGATATTTGGTCAAAAACCTTGAAAATGCAAACACAAGGGGATCAAAAATCAGAAGCTGAGACAAAGAACAGCATGTTTTATTGATTTTTAAGTCCTGACTCACATTCTTGGGGTCAGATTTTTGTATCCGTTCAGTTCCCCCTTAGTGTCTGGTTCACAGTGCCATTAAAAACCTGATTCGGGTTCATGGGGCTGGGTTAAGGGGCCGTTTAGTTGCAGTGCAGCCATTTGGGATTGTGCTGAAGTCTGGGGTGTGGGACTCTGCAAAGTGTGTGTATATGTGAGAGGGGTCCCAGAACTTCAGCTGTACCCCAAGCCTGAATGTCTATACACTATCCATGGGTGTCTAATTGCACTGTCGACACATTTAAAAAGCACCTGGATTTGCAAAAGAACCAAGCATGCTAGAAGGTGAATTTTATGGAAGCTGGGCCATTATACAGGTTCCTAAACAGGAGCGGTGCTCTTCTGAAAATCTGGCTCCAACTGCCAACACTGAGTACTTGTAAAGGTCACCCTGAATTCTTTGGAAAAGTTGGCCTCGCATTTCAGTGGAGTTGTTCAGGCGTAAGTGAAAACAGACTAGATCATGCTCTGCTACCAACATATTGCATATCAACATATTATAATCCAATTGCAGTGTCTGGGCTCCAAATGAAGCCAAGCGCTCTAGGAATACCTTGGTATCAGATGCGCTCTGATTCGTTACAACCCACTGAGTCTGCCGACTCCGTTAATGAGCACACATATTGCAGATACCAACCCACGCGCTGCCGCTATTAATCAATGCAGGGAGAGCGCTGCAAGCTGACAGATAACACAAGGCCAATTTGGCTTGCACCTTGTCTACTTGCGGCGACCAGAGATGCAGCTGTAAGTGGCCAATGTGCACTATTCTGGTCCCGAGGAGTTATCTGTTATAAGGAACATAAGCATCGTTCTTAGGGCTAACAAGCTATTCCCATGGGGTAGGCTTTCAAAGGCTACATCTGGAGACGACATTAATGGAAGACTTTTTCATAGAATCCTAGGGTGGGAAGAGACCTCAGGAGTCATTGAGTCCAGCCCCCTGCCCAAAGCAGGACCAACTCAACTCAATCATCCCAGCCAGGGCTTTGTCAAACCGAGACTTAAACACCTCTAAGGATGGAGATTCCACCACCTCCTTAGATGACCCATTCCAGAGTTTTTCCTAATATCCCACCTAGACCACCCCCCACTGCAACTTGAGCCCATTGCTCCTTGTTCTGCCATCTGCCACCACTGAGAACAGCCTCTCTCCATCCTCTTTGGAACCTCCCTTCAGGGAGTTGAACGCTGCTATCAAATCCCCCCTCACTCTTCTCTTCTGCAGACTAAATAAATCCAAACCCCTCAGCCTCTCCTTGTAAGTCATATGCTCCAGCCCCTGAATCATTTTGGTTGTCCTCCAGCCCTAAGATGAAGGGATGGCTATTTCTGTATAGCAAGAACAGACTCTTCTCTCAACCAGCAGAGGAACGTTAGGTACCACAAGTTGCGGGGAGAAATAAGTCCAGCTTGTCTAGTTTCAAGACTCGGTTTTAGGGCTACCCTTCAAACTTTCCTCCATGTATGGGATCTTCCTAGCACTGTCTGCAAAGACTTACCCAGTTTGCATGATGAGATCTGTCACCAAGCTACCAGCTGAATACACCCCACACGAGAGGGCACTGCCTAAGAGCAGAGTGGCCGTTAAGGTGACGACCTCGGTTTTTAGTGTACGGCAGGGAGCTGTAGCTCTGTGGCCTAGCACCACTGACAAACACACGGAGGACTGCCCATCATATTGTTGGCTGTGACTCTTGACAAAATTGGGGCCTTATCCACACAAAATCCTTCCTCATATCAGTATCTCTTGGGGGTGACAGGTGATGCACAGGACTAGGAAACGGCCATAAATCTTTGGAGGAGAGCCCAGCAGGAAAGCGGGCAGAAATAGACAGATAAACATGTCCTTTAAAAGCAGAACAAGTCATGACTCATGCCATGAAAATGTGTCCCTATTTATGAAAAGCATTATCTACACACTGTCTCCCAGGTTTCCGACGGAAATGCCAAGCAAATCTCCAACATGTACTGTAAAAGTCAGTTTCTTAATGGGGAAACTCCTCTCTTGTGACCTTCCGTGTCACAGAAGGCCACAAATCTTGGCTCTGCACTTCCTGTCTGCAATTTACTCATCCTGCACCACACCCTGCGGCGAAAGTCATCTTTTAAAGAGATGCACATTTGTGTCCAGAAACTACCGCTCTGCAGTGGCAGGGGCTATATTCAAAAGGCCGCATCAATGGAGGTCAAGGTTGGCTAAGCTCCACAAGCCAATTGCCAAAGCCTGACGGGCAGTTGTTTTTGCTTTGCCTCATGACGGCTGATCCCTTTCCAAAGGAGAATTTCTACATATGGACAATTGAAGGCAAGGGGCAGGTTTTATTGTTGTGAACGAATCTTTCCAAAGCCCTGGAACAGACTTCCTTGGATTCTTTGGTACCTCTCTTTGGATGAAAAGATCAGTGGCATATGCATGACACATCCACAGCCTGTACCTGAGCTATTTTGAGTGGAACCTAGCTCTGCTACCACTGAACTCAATAAAATCCCACCTTGTTTTCAGGCGATAATGCTTCAAACCATTTTTAAAAACTCCCTCTTTGCACCCACCACAAAACAACGCAAAGGGGTCCGACTGTAAATAAGAACCCTGCCTTGGAGTGTCACGTGCTGTAAATTATTACACACACTGATTTATGTCCACAGACGCATGACAAGAGAGAGGCCCGTTTTGGCAGTGCTGTATTTCCTTAAGAGCCAGTGAAACATAACAGGCTCAGAGTGATGTTACACAGAACGTAGGCTCTGTGGGTGTGTCTAGACTACAGGGCTTTTTCAAAAAAAAGTGGCCTTTTATCGAAAAAACTTCCCCTGCATCTAGGCTGCTGCCGCATTCTTTTGAAAATAAATCGAAAGAACGTGGCAGTTTTTTCAACCGCGGAAAATCTCGTTTTACGAGGAAGAACGCCTTTTTTCGAAAGTGCTCTTTTAAAAGTGCTCTATGTAATGCAAACTGTGCTTTTTCGAAAGAGAGCATCCAGACTGCCTGGGTGCTCTCTTTTGAAAAAGTGGTTTGCTTTTTCGAAAGTACTGGTTGTAGTCTAGACACTCTCTTTCGAAAGAGGCTTGCAGGTTAGATGTAGCTTGTGTATCTGGCTTGGGGAAGAACCG